TCTTGTCCCACTATCATGTTCAGACTTCATTTGGGTTTCAGTAATTCCTCTCGGTTACATTTCCCTGGCCCTACCAGGTCTCCTCTATCCTCCTTGCAATCGATTTTGGATCACTTGTTGTTCCCTTATCCATGGCTTTGTTAACACCCACTTCCATTCCCCCGGAACCTTCGGTCGTTGTTTTCTCCTCCAGATTATTTATCCCGCCTATCTTATCTAGATAGACCTGCAACGATAATAATATGCACAAAAAACAAGACAGAGCAAAACAAACAACAAAAGAAAATAAAACAGCAACAACATAAAAGAACCGACAACAAAAAAGAAAAGCCTGCAAATAGTTCAAGGTCTGTTTGTTGACCTTTAGGAGTGTTTTCTGGTTGAGTCTGAAGTGAAAGATATTTCATCCATGCTGACACCATTGATTTTAGAACAGTTCATTTTACTGATGGCATCAATTGTGAGGTGCGTATTTCTTCACATTTAACATCTCTGAGATCGGGATACACCTGAGAACCACGGAAGTAAGGAAAATGTGGGCTCACTACCTGCTTTTGCCTGACTCACCTCAGATCCTCCCGCACCAATCTCAGGCTTGTTGAACTGGAAAGGGTCTCAGAGGTCACACATGTGACAAACCAGATCACATCACGCCACGGGGTCCAGAGACGGGGCAAAACTTGCTGATCTCTTAACCCCCTTTCTTTCAGGCTTTTCAGTATGTACCCTGGTTGTTTTCTTCCTTTGACCTCTTCTCCTTTAAAAAGAAGTCATTTATTTTAGGAAGTTACTTTGTTTTATTTTGTTTATCTTCTCTGTAACTCTCCCTCTGCTAGAATCTGGATGTAGGGATGACCTTTTATGGCACTGAACTCAGCCCAGAAAGCAGTGCAAGAAGGGCCTAGCTGACTGTCCTGCCCTAGATCACATTAATTGTTGCTTTTTAATCACCCCAGGACCCTCTTCCCCTGCTTGGGCTCAGATCCAGACTCAAAGGTAAGGGCAGGGAACAGAATGAGGGACGGGCCTGCCTTCAAGACCCGCATATCACCAAAATCACAATGCAGGCTGCCATGGTTTTTAGCCTCACCAACCATCCCTTTCATGCATTTGGGCTTTCAATGAGATCAACTCTTTCATTTTCCTTTACCTTCATTGCAGAGATGGTGGAGAACTGAATCAAATTGAAGGTGAGGCCACTCACACCAACCTCACAGAGCCCGCCAAGCTGGGAGTCAAGTTTTTCTGGTGTGAGTAGCCACTTCTCTCTGGGGTCAGGACCCTGGAGGCCAGCACTCTGATTTGGAGCACTCCTGTCACATCAATGCCATCCATTCGGGCCCTGATCATTTGTGTAGCACCCAGGACATGCCACTCACTGGGGATGCAATCATGACAGTTCACAATATAACGACTCTCAGTATTTCAATAGGGGAAGTCCTGGCGGTGATGCAGGGGGCAGGCGGAGTCAAAGACCCAAGTCAGTTTTGGTTGGGAATCGGTGGAGGTGGAGGGTGGAGGAAAATGATGGCCTTCTCTAAAGTAGTCCATGCGTATAGAATAACAAGTCCAATGTGAAAAACCTTGGAGGCAGGAGATGGTCAGAGGAAAGTGAGTTTGAGTTCTGGCTCTGCCACTCTCTGGTCACATTGTTGGGGTCCCTGAGAGACACTCACAGCCATGTGTGCACTGAGCTCCCAGCCAGCTGAGGAATGGGTATGGGGCAGCATAGAAGGATCTGGGTGTTAATTTCATTGTTACTATAGGTACATGGGAGGGCTCAGCTCAGAATCGTGGGGCTGTCTCCAATAAAAAGTGATTGGAAGCCCTTTGCTGCTCCTCTGGGACAGGTGGTAAAGTCACTTGCTGCAATAGCAGTCATTCCCCCAGCCCAGTCACCATCACCAATAACCAAGTCCTTAAAGTGGGAGCAGAGGGAAGGTCTAACTATAGAGAAGGAGGAAACTGTTCTTCCCACACATATGAGTATAAACAATGCACACCATCTTGGAGTCAGTTTTGTGAGGATAACTAGACACCATCAGCTCTGTGATGGGCTTTGTAAACATTTGCCTCGCTGGTTCATTCTTCCTAGGCGGCAGTTGGAACACAGGAAGAGTGGGTGATGTACACAAGGTCCCTGAACTAAATGAGTCAGAAGTGAGACTCAAACCTAGGTCTCCAAACTCTCAATTGTGTACTTGTCCCAGAAGACTGATCAGGGATGGGGGTGGAGTGGGGAGAAGGGCACCAAAGTCAAGGTCAGATATTACAGGCACATTTGTAAGGAAGCCTGTAACTGGAACTGAAAGAGAGGCTCGAGCTGTTGGCTGGAGAAGCCGAGGAGAGAGATGTACTCCGGTTGGAGACACCAGAGAGTCGCACTGGGACTTGAGGGTGTGTGGGAAATTGCAAGGAAGAAGCATTCCAAGTGCAGGGAGCCGTGTAAGAAAAGGTCTCAAGAAGTTTACAACATGGGAGGATGCTGGAGAGGGAGACAGAGTTGGAGGGCTTCGAACGCGTGTTAGAGGGCTTGGTGTTTCTTCTCTACGCAGTAGGAGGCTGTAACATTTTGTGATCTAGACAGAAACGTGGAAGGATTGTGTACTCTGGTAAATCTATTCTTGAGAGCTAGGCGCTGGGAGAGGAAGACAGCACGTGCATGCCCAGGTGTGTGCAGCGTGGGGCCTCATGTGCTGTTGTGGGAAAAGCGAGGGATAGATTTTTTTCCCCCAGGTTCCTCTGGGCTAGACAGCTCTCAGTCTAGGTGGGAATGTACACAGCTGCTAAAATTCACAGAGAGGAGATTTAGGGTGAACATATGTTCTCGTGAGTGAGGCAGGCCAGGCACCAGCAGTCCTAGGGAAAGTAACCAGAAACATCCCTCAATCGGGGCCCTGAAGGCTTGTGCAAGCTTCTGTCCAGCTTCTGTGCAAGCCGCTTCCTCCAACTGTCCTTCTGCAGTTATCAATTCAGAAAGTCAGAGGGAGGAGGGTCCTGGGGCCGGGGATCCTCTGGACTCCCTCCTGGGTCCTGGATATCCAGAAATCTCTCTAGCCACTCACACATTGCCTCTTTTGTCGAAAAGTTGGGTTTTTTTAAATTAAATACTTTCATTGAGGGCTCTGACATCTCTTATCACAATGCATACATTTATCCAGTGTGTCAAGCACATTTGCACATATGCTGCCATCATCATTTTCTTCTTCTTTTTAAAATCTTTTTATTAGGGGTTCATACAACTCTTATCGCAATCCATACATACATCAATTGTGTAAAGCACACCTGTACACTCACTGCCCTCGTCATTCTCAAAACATTTGCTCTCCACTTAAGCCCCTGGTGTCAAAACGTCTCTTATGGTCTTTCTGGAATGCTGAGATATGATTGTGACTTAGAAAATGTCAGGATTATTTTCAGTGGATGAAGTTGAATCGGTAGAGCAAATTCCCCCTGATTGCCTCTATGTCTAAATCATTTGTTCTCACGGGTTCTGTCCCCTTTGGGTGTATTTCCCCCTTGACTTTAAACAAGCTGGGCTCTGAGTTTTCCTTGGCTGACCGAGAAAATGTCTAGATTCCGATAGAGAAAGTAAATACTCCATGTCTCCACTTCAGGGCCCCTGTAATCGATAGAGAAAGTAAATACTCCATGTCTCCACTTCAGGGCCCCTGTAATCGATAGAGAAAGTAAATACTCCATGTCTCCACTTCAGGGCCCCTCTAATCTTGGGCTTTGAACACTTCCCATCCAATGCATAAAAGAGGGGTGTGGTCTATTGTGAAGGAGAGCTTTCCCCAACGGATTCACCGTATTCTGAAGGGTGGATGGTTTTCCAAAGAACTTAGGGAAAAACAAAGACAACATTTGTTCTGCCTCCTTCTTCAGGCAGTTCTGGAAGCAGGTGGTGAACACGTAGAGCCGCGGGCCCCTGAGTTTACATTCTCGGCTCCAAGTAGCTAAAGGGTGGTGCCTCCGCACACACAGACACCAAGAGCAAGCTATCTTTTAGCCCAGTAACCAGGGACTTCCAGTGACCAGACTGTTAGCAAGGAAGGAAGATCAGACAATGATTCTTAACTCCAACTGCACACTAGAATCACTAGGGAGCTTCTTACAGTACCAAGCACACACAGTCTAAGTCTGCGGCGGGGAGGGGAGAGATAGCTGTGGTATTTTTAAGATCCCTGCATGAAGCCATCACTAAGAAACACGGGACTCCAGGGCCTGGCTTCGAGGGTCCTGGAGATGAACGTGTCTCTTGCTTGTCCCGGTCCCGCCTAACGCAGCCCTCATCTGGTTCTTAGTGATGCCCTCGGCGCCATACTGGGTCCTGGCCACCGACTATGAGAACTACAGCCTGGTGTACTCCTGTACCACTTTCATCTGGCTTTTTCACATGGATCATGCTTGGATCTTGGGAAGAAACCCTTATCTCCCTCCAGAAACCGTGACCTACTTAAAAGCTATCCTGACTTCCAACAACATTCCTGTCGACAAAATGACCACCACAGATCAGGTGAACTGCCCCGACTTCCTGTGACCAGGCTGGGCTGCTACAGCAAGGCGGGGCCCACTCCGTATGACTTCCTTTGCTTTACGTCTCCTCGCCCTCACGCCGGTGACCCATTTCTAATACCAGGAGGGAAGGTGAACAACACAGGCCATGGGAGGGACCTTTAAAGTTGACCCAAACACGTAGCCACGGGCCACCTAGCTGCCTTACTTGCCTAAGAATAAACTTGCTGACATGCTATACTCATGAGAGAGTCTGAACTGGATTCATTATTGTGGGGTTTTAATTATAAACTTGTGCTTGGGAATCCTTAACAGGTTGGGGAAGAAGAAAAAAAAAAAAAAGACCTCGGCACTGAACTACCCTTGTTGAAAGTTAAGAATCTGGCTCCTGCTGATTGGTAAAGGCATGTTCTGCGAGGCCGGAGTCCAAGGGCATCCCTCCTGCAGCAGGCAATGCTCGGGGGAATCGGCTGTTTGGGGTTTGTCTCATAGGCAGTTCCCTTGACGATGTGTCTTTCTTATCAGAAGGTCCTCAGAGTCAGATGCAGAATGGTACCATCTCGGAGCCTATGCAAGACTGAAGAGCATCTATGAAATGAAATGGGAGTGGGGGGACTGGGATTTTTTTTTTTTAAGAAAATCATTTGAGCCAGTGTCTTTTATTCCGCTGCTATTTACTGAGGTCCAGCTGTATTCCAGGCATCGAAAAAGACTGTCTGCAAAGCTTGGTGAGGGAGACAGGCAAATCAAAATGTGATTCCAGTCCGACACATTGAAGCCAAGGACGGAGGACCATGGAGGGGTCCGTGGGAGCCCCAGCGGAGGCTCAGCCACCCCCAGAGGCAGGTGGCCACAGAGTTACCGTCCTCCCTCTGGGGCCTCCAACTGCAGGGAGCCTGACGCCACCCTGGGTGACTACTATAAACACAAGGCTGTCAGCATCACATCCCTGAAGTTCCACTTCTCCCACAGAGCCCTTCAAATATGCCAGTGTTTGAGGAGATGAATAAGAAATCAGACCCCTGAATTAGCTTTTTGCCTTCTTTGAAGATGAGTGTAGAAGAGCCCCTTCTGTGCGCGCTTGAGACTCTTTAATGCTTTCTGTTAAAAGGTACAAAGGTTTCAAGGCTCTTAATTTGTAGACTTCTCATTTAGCCCAATAAATATAATCTCAAAATGTAGCTTCCATTTCAGAATTCCAAAAGACTTAAAACCATTGGGCACAAAGGCAGTAAGAAGGAAGTAGGCATCTAAGAAGCCCCTCACTCCTTCTGCCCCCTAGCGTTGCCTACCAGGCAGGGCACGTTTCTAACATGAGATTAGTAGTTGTAACCAGCTCTCTCCACCCCTCTGGTGGCACAAAACAAGCTCATGTCATTGTTTGTTGTGAGTTGCCATCAAGTCACCTCCAACTCATGGTGACCTTCTGTATAACTGAGCGAAACACTGTCCAGCCCTTCATGTTGTGGTTCTTCTCGTGGGGGACTTCCCTCCTGTCCACTGGCTCTCTAGTTTACAACCATGATGTCCATGTGTAGCCATCGGCCTGTCCTGATGCCGGGTCCAGATCAGATCATACTGATCCAAAAGGTTCACCTGGGCTAGTCCTTTGGAAGTCCATCACTTGGCCTTGCTTCCTAACCTGAAGCCTCACTGAAACCTGCCCACGATGGGTAACCCTGTTGGTATTGAAGTCCCCATGACAGTGCCGAGTGACATGCAAATTACACAGTCCAGAAAATAACAATCAACCGTTCAACGTGAATGAACTACTGAATGAGTGGAAAACTGGCTAGCAAGAGGACTCCAGGAAGCAGGTCGTCTTTCAGGAGGGAGCGAGCCTGACAGACCTAGAGTGGTCTCTGCAACAGTGGACAAAGAGGCGAGAAGGAGAAGGAAAGGGTGGGAAAGAGACAGTAAACTGCAAAGTAGGGGAAATCTCACAGAGTAAATCCTGACTGGGGCTCCACCCATCACCCGCTTTCACCAACATTGCTTTAGCACCAACTCCACCCTCAACTTTGTACCCCAAGTATTTTGAAGCAGATTCCAAATAGCACCTCCTTCGATTCACACATAACTACCTAATGGTAAATCTCCAGCAAATAGATAATTTTTGAACAAGAAAATAAAGAAATGCTAATTGTTTTATATCCTGGAGGTAATCACAAACTGTAATCTCAATACAAATATTATTTGACCGATGGGAGCCCTGGTGGCTTCGTGGTGGCGCACTGGCTATGGGCTGCTAGGTCGGCAGTTGGTAACTACCACCTTCTTGGCGAGAAAGTCGGGGCTTTCTACTCCCAGAAACAATCACAGTCTCGGAAACTCACCAGGGCAGGTCTACCTGATCCTCTGTAGCACTGATCCTCAAACTACGGCCCCGCGGGCCACATGCGGCCCACCGGGTGTTTTTGCCACCGCTTCCTGACCTGCTTAGCAGCCAACTCATCCAGTGTGCACAGGGATTTGTTCATAGTTGTTTTTTAAACTATAGTCCGGCCCTCCAACGGTCTGAGGGACAGTGAACTGGCCCCCTGTTTAAAAAGTTTGAGGACCCCTGCTCTAGAGTCACTCTGGGTCTCAACTGAGAAGTGACTATTCATCACTTCCTGTTTTGACCGTCTCTACAGCTTACCAAATGTCCTTCTGTCAGAACCTGGGGTGAAGTGCAATGACTTGGAATGGCTCTTCTACCCACGTCTTTGTAATGTCCACCAAACGAGTGGGTGGAGCCACGCCTACAGGGTGTGTGACACACTCATATAGGGGCGTGGTTAGTTTTCCCATTCTTCCAGGTGTGAGAGAGCCATCCCAGGGGGAGAGAGAGAGAAGGCTGTGACCATCAAAGAAAAGTCACCAGCAGAGCACATTGGAGATACCTGCGCAAAGTGGAGGAGGCAGCAAAGGCACCACAGACCACAGCACAGAGATCCTGAGACTAAGCAGAGGATCAGTGCTGAGACCAGGAAGCAAAGCAGTGGGCGTCCTGGCCCATGGGGGCAGAGGCTGAGGGACCACCAACATGACTGAGACAAGGAGCTACAGACAAAACAACTGTATCCTGTTTCGGTAACCTGTTAGCTTCTCTAATAAACCACCCATAATCGAGAGTGTCGTCGTCTGTGACGTCAGTGTGGCCATTGCTATGAATTCTCAAACGCAGTAGAGAAGTGGAGTGTCCTGAGCGGCATGGTGGGTGTCAGAATAAAGAAAGTTGGCGGGGAGAGGCGTGTCTGACCTCTGCCTCAGGTTTGGGCCGTATGGAGTTGCATTCTCCTCCCTGTATAGCCAGAGGTGGTCAGATGTGGCCTCCGCGCCGATTTTTCACAAATGGCCGACCACATATAATTCCAGAATACCTAGGAAGGTGAGGGCTGCACACAACCTTTGGCCGAGCAATTCTCTTTCCACATAAAGACCCTAGAATGCTTCCTGTACACAAGGAGAGGTGTCAGCTCACTGCGCCACAATGTTCACCGCAGGGCTGTTCGAGAGGCTAAAGAATTAAAAACAGTCTAAACATCCACTAGCAGCAGAATGAATGTTTAAATTTTAATATATTTACACACGTAAATGTATATACATATACACACAGATATAAATATATGTTTGTATGTGAGTTGGATGTTCATAACCTGGGGGCTGCTTGTAATTAAACTCCGGGAATGGTAAACACAAAATTCCAGGTCCTTGTTCCCTCCAGAGAGTGGAGAGTGGGGGCTGCAATTGGGAAGGAATGCACAGCTGGTCTCCTTGCATTGCTCGTTTGTTTCCTGGGAATGCTGCAATAAATTACCCACAAAGTATTCCTTAAATCAATCGCATGCGCAAAGATCTTTTCTCCAAAATCTAATATTTACAGCTTCCAGGGTAATACCTTTGAAAGGTCCTTTTTCAGACTACTCCCCAAAAACAAAGAAACTCGCTGCCATCAAGTCGATGCCGACTTATGGTGACCCTCGGGGACAGGGAGGAACTGCCCCGGTGCGTTTCTGAGCGTGTGACTCTTTCCGGGCGTAGAAAGCTCTGTCTTTCTCCTGAGAAGTGGCTGATTGTTTCAAACTGCTGACCTTGCAGTTAGCAGCCCAACACATAACCACTACACTAATGAGTGGTGAGCAACAGTGACAGAATGATGACCTTTACCTTGAGTGACAGTGACCTGTGTGAACATTTTACATCAGACATAGACCATGAAAGTTTTTTATACAGGGTTTTTAGGGGCTGGGGGAGCATATAATTCACATATCATACAATTCAATCATTCAATCATATTAAGAGTTATACAGTCATCATCACAATCAATTTTAGAATATTTTCTTCTTTTTAGTACTCATTGTTATTAGCTCCCCTATTGTCTCCCCAACCTCCCCTGCCATAACCCCAAGAAAGAATCAATCCAATATCTGCCTCTATAGATGTACCTATCCTGGATTTCATATACAGAAAAAACAAACCCAAACAATTTAACAGTAATAAGAAAGAAAACCTCAGTCAAAAAGAAAATAGAAGATATTAAAAACTAGAACAAATGTAAAATGGGTCAGAGGGAGATCAAACGATATGGTGTTCATTTGAACCTAATTGCATCTGCAATCATCCATTTCCAACACAACGCACGCTGTGTGAGAGCAGGCTGCTCTCACCCCTGGTCCGGGCTCAGGGGAGACTCACCAGAGGCTGTACCCACATGGATTTCTTTTTAAATGGAAACAGCTTTAAAATGCTAGACCATGAACTTCTGTAAAGATCTCTAGGAGACCGAGGGGTAGGTAGTAACTCCAAGAAAACGTTAGAAGATTAAGAGGCATAAGATGAAGAGACATAGGCTAAGGTATGAGTTTGTCATTTCACAGACCAGTAAATTCTAGAAGAAGCGCAATGCAGGGCAAGACCCTCATAACTTGACTTGTCGTGTGTGTGTGTGTGTGTGTGTGTGTGTGTGTCCCATTTAAGATGCTAAATGATAACAATTAGAGTGGTCCCTCCTCCAAAAATGCACAGCATATAGGAGCCTGGCACAACAACAAAAACAAAAAATTCAAAACCCAGTAGAACTGAGATGGTTGAACACTATGTGGATAACTAATGTCACTGAATAGGACATGTGAAGATTGTAGAAATGGTAATGTTTTCATTATCTGCATATTCACAGTATATACACACAGACAGAGAGAGAGAGGGAACTGAATGCTGAATTCCTGTCTCGTGGACAGGCTAGTGGTGAAAAATTCTAGTGAT